AGTTTCACAATTTGAGTTGAATTACTGAAATAAATGAACTTTTCCACAACCTTCTAATTTATTGAGATGCACCTGTATATGTAAATATTCGTGGGAGTAAACAATGTGACAACGTGCCCCGGCCTCCCCTGCCCAGCAGTGGCCTGTTCTTGTAGGTGTAGTAGTGGAACATGCAGGATGAAATTAGTGTGAAATGTAATTTTGTAATGGATCAAAGGTTTTTCTCTTAACTCGATTGAGTAGAACTATCTCAAACAGGAGCTGACGTCTATAACTTGTACTCTATATGCGTACTTTATCTGTTCACATAATCTAAATGCATTACCATTAAGATAAGAATTCCACACTCTGATAATTGAATATATTTTGTACCTTAAGCATTTAGGGACTTTGATCTGAGATTAAATGTCTGTCACTGAACTCTATAAATGTGCAGTATCTGGTAAACACAGATGTATCTGGTGGTGTGTCAGATCTCCATTAAAGAGACTCTACTGTGATTTGTACCTTAGCACACAATGCTGTCTCCAGAGGAACATTTTGCTCATTGATTCAGTCGATATTTCCGCTGGTTTTTTTTTTTTTATCAAAAAGTATATTACATGCCTTGTTCAAGGTCACATTTCTCTGGGTTACTTGAGGAAATCAATGGAGTGGCAACACAAATTTATTTAATCTCTCGTTCTAAAATAAACTGCTTGTCAAATCTTTCTCTCTGTTAAATTCCCTTGCTAGTTCTTATTTGAAATCAATCTCAGGAATTGTTCTTCTGAACATATTTCCAATATCATCTTAGGGGTGTGTGAGTGATATCAAGAGATGTGTTGGCATTGCACAGATTTGAAATTCCCATCACATGAAAACGACAGTGTGCAATTATTATATGTGGTTTTAGATTTGGTGGCATAACATTTTCAAAAGCATTGACAAATTCTCACAATCTTTTAGGTGTCTTTGGTGCCTTGGTGTGCTCTTTTAAATATGTACCTTTAAAAGTACCAAAAATACTATGTTAGTAGTGTCATAATGGTTTTCTTTAAAGCATCTGTTTGATGAATATAGTAATCAGATGCCATCGCTATACCATAGCACTATCAATGCTTTTTTGTACGGAGGTGTATGTATATGAAATATGTATTCTTGCTTATATATATGCATAGGCCTCCATCTCTCCTCTGCATCTTTTCATTAGCACTTGCAGGAAGTTTGGTTTAATGTAGTTAAATTCCTCTGATAACAATGCATGGGACAAATATAGAGATCCTTTTTTTAAAAATGGTTAATGACTGTCATGCAGTGTTTGCTTGTTTTTAGAAAAACATGATGAGAAATGTTTTGAGTATTACTACTTGAGTATTAAAAGTAAAAACTACTGATCAATAAATCATGTTTATTTATTTAGCAACTGTATATACCATGCAGTATTTAAAAATTGAGAAAAACGTGTGGTGACAAATACTAATACACAATATAAAAAATAGGCAACACGTGTTGACTTTTTATGAGGAACGCTATGCAGACATTCTATTTTTATACCTTGTAAAACTGTTGCAACAGTGGCATTAATTATTTTTTAACATTATTTATAGTTTTTACCTAAAGTGGCCTATACAAACAGTGACATGCAAATGTATGTCCACATTCAAGCATTTCAAACAATTGACTTAAACAGCTAAACAACTAAATATGATTTTCATTAACAATAATCATTACTAAAAGTCAGCATTAGTAAGTTTTCACATGTGGAATCTCCATGGGTTTAGGGGCTTTTTCACTTACTTTTTCACTCAAGGATTTTTTTTTTTTTTTTTTTGCCCTTTTAGTGTTTATTGTTACTCGGCTATTCTATATTTTGCTTTTGACTATAAATCCTCAAGTTCTTGTGTGGTTTGAGCATTAAAAATAATTACAGGCCACCCTTTAGTGATTTTAGTAATTTTGCTCAGAATTTCCCAAGAGCATGTTGTGATTATTTATTGTGAACTTTTTGCAAATGGTTTAACCACTCTTTTGGCTTTTGATGTGACTTTAAAATTTGAAAGCGTGGAGAAGTATTTGTTTTGCATTAACATGAGCAGTAGTCCTTTTCAGTGTTTTCTTAAGCTAATAATAGATCTAATATCTCATATATCTATATCCAATATCCGGCTGTCCTTCTGTTAGCCCTGGATCACAAGACTCCAGAGCTGTTGTGCTTTACTTTCATCACATGATGTTTCAACTCTAAGACTGAATGTTTCTGTTTAGCCTCAGTCCATGTGGGTAGCCATGGTGGTGCGCATGGGGGCCCAGCTCGCCCTCATGACAACCATTATGCGATTTATCCACCCACAGCTGCCACGAACACAAGCACAACATCAAGATACATCTTCTTTGAGAGATGCGGTCATCTCGGTTTTTCAGTTTCTACATATAGACTATTCAGGAAAACACAATGTCTTTCCTCATAGGTAACATCACATAATAAACAAATAACTATGTACCACATTCAAGTGTAGATCAGAACGTTTGCATTAGTTTGAAACTAAATCTGTATTTTTGTCTTGTTTTCCAGTAATATTTAAAGGTTACAAAGGACACGTTTAGTTCGAGATTGATTCTTCGAAAGTATATATTTTTTTATTTAAGTGTTTTTTTTTGTCTGATGATCCTGTGGAAAGAAAGACAAAAAAGGCTGATTTAGAAAATGTAATTAAAACTTTTTCTTGAATTGCAACACTGACAACAGATGAATCGGTCTACTTCCTGTTTGATTTGACCATCTGCCCCATGTTTGCCTAACTCTGTTTGGCAGTCTCTGATCTTCCTGGCCTGTGTGTCTGCGGTGGGTCTGGGTTTGAGTCTGCTGGTGCTGTCCGCATATCTGACCTGCCTGTGCTGCCGTCGAAGGGAAGAGGCTGAGGAAGTCAAAAGGCCCGACACCTGCTGTGTCACATGGGCTGCTGTTATCACCGGTCTGGTCATATGGTGAGTTCATTCACTTTGTTTTGCACCCACCAGGAAACAGGGACTGATTTTATTTATAGTTTAGATCTTGTTTTAAATACATCATTTGCATGTCCCTAACACATCAACTGATGCAGATGATGCTTGTTAGATTATATTTAACAAGGATGCATTAAATTAAGCAAAAGTGACAGTATAGATGTTTATAAAGTTTTTTTTTTATTTTTACTTTCTATTCATCAAAGAATCCTGAAAATTCAGCTTTGCCATAAAAGGAATAAATTATATATTAAAATATTACATATTGATCAAATAAATTTGGTAAACATTAGAATTTTTTATATTTAAACGTTTATTATTATTTCTTAGGGGAATTTCTTTTAACAAAATAGCTTGATGGTGTATTAATATTAAAAAACATTTGTCACCAAATCTAAGGCTGTGTTCTCAACAGTGTTGGGTAGGTTACTCAAAAAAGTAATCCACTACAGATTACTAATTACTTCTTTAAAATTGCAATTTGATTACATTACTGATTACTGCATTTAAAAAGTAATCAGATTACTAATTACTTTGCTTTCAAGTTATCAAACCTAAAAAAAATAGTCTACAAAGTGAAACTCGTAGTTCTTTCAGTATTTTAATACTGACTGAAAAATGTCATAGGTATCAAAACAGCAACTTAAAAGATCACATTGCATTTTTTCCTGATAACAGCAGAAGAGAACTTAAGCAAAAAGAAGCAAAAATAACTTAATGTTCTGTCATTTTTGAAAATGTAGATAAGAGTAATACAACATTTGAAACCATAAAGGGTCTACTTTTATTTGTATACACTCGCAATATCAACAAAACGCTGTGCTTTTGTAAAATAAAGAAAATGCACAGGGTGTGCTTACTGCCATCTCAGTCTCCTTGAACTTCTTTCTGAAACACGCCAAAAAAAAAAAGAAAACTCTGTGAATACTTGACACCCAGACAAAGGGAAATACTGTGGGTATGGAAAGTATTCAGACCCCCTTAAATTTTTCACTCTTTGTTATATTGCAGCCATTTGCTAAAATCCTTTAAGTTAATTTTTTTCCTCATTAATGTACACACAGCACCCCATATTTACAGAAAAACACAGAATTGTTGACATTTTTGCAGATTTATTAAAAAAGAAAAACTGAAATATCACATGGTCCTAAGTATTCAGACCCTTTGCTCAGTATTTAGTAGAAGCACCCTTTTGATATAATACAGCCATGAGTCTTTTTGGGAAAGATGCAACAAGTTTTTCACACCTGGATTTGGGGATCCTCTGCCATTCCTCCTTGCAGATCCTCTCCAGTTCTGTCAGGTTGGATGGTAAACGTTGGTGGACAGCCATTTTTAGGTCTCTCCAGAGATGCTCAATTGGGTTTAAGTCAGGGCTCTGGCTGGGCCATTCAAGAACAGTCACAGAGTTGTTGTGAAGCCACTCCTTCGTTATTTTAGCTGTGTGCTTAGGGTCATTGTCTTGTTGGAAGGTAAACCTTCGGCCTAGTCTGAGGTCCTGAGCACTCTGGAGAAGGTTTTTGTCCAGGATATCCCTGTACTTGGCCGCATTCATCTTTCCCTTGATTGCAACCAGTCGTCCTGTCCCTGCAGCTGAAAAACACCCCCACAGCATGATGCTGCCACCACCATGCTTCACTGTTGGGACTGTATTGGACAGGTGATGAGCAGTGCCTGGTTTTCTCCACACATACCGCTTAGAATTAAGGCCAAAAAGTTCTCATCAGACCAGAGAATCTTATTTCTCACTATCTTGGAGTCCTTCAGGTGTTTTTTCATGTGTCTTGCACTGAGGAGAGGCTTCCGTCGGGCCCCTCTGCCATAAAGCCCCGACTGGTGGAGGGCTGCCGTGGTGGTTGACTTTCTACAACTTTCTCCCATCTCCCGACTGCATCTCTGGAGCTCAGCCACAGTGATCTTTGGGTTCTTCTTTATCTCTCTCACCAAGGCTCTTCTCCCCCGATAGCTCAGTTTGGCCAGCTCTAGGAAGGGTTCTGGTCGTCCCAAATGTCTTCCATTTAAGGATTATGGAGGCCGCTGTGCTCTTAGGAACCTTAAGTGCAGCAGAATTTTTTTTGTAACCTTGGCCAGATCTGTGCCTTGCCACAATTCTGTCTCTGAGCTCTTCAGGCAGTTCCTTTGACCTCATGATTCTCATTTGCTCTGACATGCACTGTGAGCTGTAAGGTCTTATATAGACAGGTGTGTGGCTTTCCTAATCAAGTCCAATCAGTATAATCAAACACAGCTGGACTCAAATGAAGGTGTAGAACCATCTCAAGGATGATCAGAAGAAATGGACAGCACCTGAGTTAAATATATGAGTGTCACAGCAAAGGGTCTGAATACTTAGGACCATGTGATATTTCAGTTTTTCTTTTTTAATAAATCTGCAAAAATGTCAACAATTCTGTGTTTTTCTGTCAATATGGGGTGCTGTGTGTACATTAATGAGGAAAAAAAATTAACTTCAATGATTTTAGCAAATGGCTGCAATATAACAAAGAGTGAAAAATTTAAGGGGGTCTGAATACTTTCCGTACCCACTATATATCTAAAGAAAGCCTGAAGTGTCTACTTTTAAATGAAGTAAGTCTTACCGAAAACAAATATACTCTGTTAAAGTAATCCGCATGAAACCAATGTGAGGTAAGTCTTTCCTGTCTGAGCTTATTGTCTGTAACATCACCTCCGTAAACAAAGCAGCAAGATTCATCAAGTTCATCTAATATTTTGAGTTTAACACCTCTCTGTCTCTCCACTGACTATCTCCTAAACAAAAATTTCAGGATTATGGAAAGATTTTTGTTTTTCTTAATCATGGACACGCATAGGCACCGTTCACATAGAATGTGTTTTTGAATTTAAATTTGAGCTTAGCTTTTTTTTCAAAATACTGTATAATGCATGAGATGCGGTCAAACGTGACCATCAAATGAATGTTCCAATAGAAAAACAATGGAAAAGCAACACAGTGGAATGCAAAAATTTACCTTGCAGGGGGAAAGGGGTAGAAAAAGAAGATGAGTCATGCAAGACGTGCACATTTCATTCAGAACCACTGAGTAGGAAAAGTTCAGAGGGCATTTAGAGTTAGAATAAAATTGTCTTTAACCTGTGACATTTCATTTAGGATGTCAGCTGTATTTTGACAGGGATAATGGTGCATTTGGATTGGATTTGTTATGCGATGGGTTCATGGGTGAGATGTGAGCTGTGGAAGAGATAGTTTTACTATTTAAGCCAGATACGCTGTGACTTCACACACAGTTCCTTGATCTCCCAAACGGCGGAGCAAATCAGAGCGCGAACCGCTGCTTTCAGCTCCAATTGGCAGGAAATAAGAAGGAAACTCAATTCTAATTTTGTGAGAATTAATCATCCTTCACTTCTGCTCTCTCCGAGATCTGTTGCGTAAATTTATTCCCTGCTAACCAGCACACACCTGTCACAGGATTCATTATGTTCAGTGAATGAATACACATGAAAACATGTGAGAATCTCTTACACACCAAGGCCCAATCCCAATTCTACCCTTTAGCCCTTCCCCTTTCCCCTACCCCTCCGTTATGCGCGTTCATGGAAGGGGTAGGGGTGTCTCAATTCTCTTTTGGTTGGAGGGGTAGGGGTAGGGGAAGGGCCCAACAGCCCTTCAAACGAAAATTTTTCGGGACCACACTTCAAACGAAGGGGTATGAATTATCTCAGCGTAAACCGGCTTCAGGGGCAACATGGCTGCCCCATCGAACAAAAAGACACATAAATGTAAGCATTTTTGGCATTAATAAAGATTTTTATGAAAAGTAATCATTTGTTTTATGTTACATTCAATCGTGAGTTCATATTTACGGTCATGTTACTCAAAGAAATGTTTGCAAAAAATCGCTAATATTTGCTAACTAACATCATATCATTATAGACGGCACGATAGTGCCACAACATATTTTCATGTCTGATTAGGGCGATAACCACCGTAGGCATTGAGGGGGGCTAGTCCCCCCAATAATTAGAAATCGCTAAACCCTTTTCTCTAATATTGCCAATTCGAGAGAGAGATGAAAATTGCGTGTATGCATTGCTGTGCGTTTCTCTTTTTAGAGTGTGTAGTAAATCAGCTCAAAAGGGAAATATTTATGACTAATTATAACTGGTTATGATTAAAAATAAATATTTAGATTAGATCTTCAAATTAACTGTAGCAGAATCAATATAACCATTACTTGATCTGTCCATCCACCGAGCAGACAAAATAATCATTTATCAATTCAAAGAAAGATTATTTTCCTGGCCAAAGAAGGATAACTTTCCTCATTTATGCAGTGCTAGCAGTAATTTAACATATGTAGCAAGGGTTCAAAACATTCATTGACTTCGAATTGTGAGCAGCAAACAGAGACAATCAGTTGTCACTCATATACCTGAATATACGCATTGAGAGTCTAACTAATACAAATAAGGAGTTGTAACTAGGCTAATACAATAGGGAAATATACAAACAACACATGCATATACCAGATACAATTATAACTGATTAATTATAGTCTAAATAAAGAAATGTCTTTATGTGTGTGTGTGTGTGTGTTATGTGAGCATGTTGTAGTTTGCTGGTCAGCCAGGCCAATTGGTGCCTGGCCCCGGGGGTCATTTACGTCTCTTTGGAATGTGTTTGAAATTCAATGCGGAGACGAAAGTGGTGAAACTGTTTAGCATCTCCTTGATAGTGGGGGGAACCATTGGCCATTTAGCACCCATATAAGTGTAAAGTCTGTGACCAGGACTGTAATTTATATGCAAATGTCAAAAGCTAAAAGGGTCTCTTAAGCCATAAAACCCAAAGATCATGCATGATTCTACGCAGACGCTACAAGTGAGTCTGCTTAAAAAACAGAGATTTTATCCTCTTGTTGCTGGAAAATATAATGTAGCGATTCAGTATTTAAACTGTTATTAATAAAAGTCGTGGGGCAGCGTTGACAAGTTTC